TGGACTAGGTAATGTTTTGTTCTGTTGTACGTAGGTTGGCTATGAGTTGGCACCTTACGGAAAAGTATAATAGATACATAGCTAAACTAATGCCTCTTTAATTATTTTAGCTGTTTCTGGTTATAAATACTTGTGACATATTTGTGAATATGTATTTTCATGAAGCAGCACATGCTTATTTTGGTAAACAAACAATTCTTTCTTTTAAATAAAAAATTTTAAGATACTTGGCACATGATAGGTATTAATAGTTGATAGTTTCCTTTCTCTGTCCTTGTCATTTTTGTTCCTCATTTAGACCAGGATGTCTCAGCCTCAGGACTATTGACATTTCAGACTGGATAATTCTTTATTGTGGGGGCTGTCCTGTGCATTGTGGATGTTTAACAGTATCTCTGGCCTCTACCCTCTAGATGCCAATCGCACCCTACCAGTTGTGACAATCAAAAATGTTTCCAAGTGTCTCGTGGGGGGGCAAAACTGCTCGGAGTTGAGAACCACTGATTTAGACTGATCAGATAAGTGTTTTGATTCTAAAAATTAATTTATCTGACTAGTGAGATAGAAAGGAAATTGCATATATTGAGATTAGGCTTTATTTAAAAAGATGTGTTGCTACCAGCCTTCTCTAAGCTTCCCTTTCTAATTTATGTTTATATAGCCAGTGTGTATATTTCTTTAGCTATAGCTCATCTTCTCTCTTTTTTGTGGGGAGAGCTTGTTTCTTCTCTTAATTTTAAAAGAACTATGGCTTTCCCTTAGTACATAGGTTAGTGTTTACATTTCTTGAAATGTCAAATAAATTTATTATATTAGCTTACCTGGATAGTACCTAGAAAATGAAGACAAATTTAAGTAAGAAGTTGACTTTAAATAGTTAATAGCTGATTTTTAATTATAAGCTATGGTTTACTTACCCCTAGATGGACCCATTCTTGTAATGAAAGAAATAAATCATCAACAACAAAAAAGTACACTTTTTTTTGTAACATTGAAGAACAATCATATCAAACTAAGCTTGTTGTATATTTAGTTAATGGTATTTTTTTTAACATGAGAAACGTAATCTTCCAGATTTTTCTGCAAATATTTGTTTCGATGAAGGTTTTGTAAGTTAATAGTCTTTATCTTACTTTTAAAATTCTGTCATCTCTTAATGTTTTAAAATGTAATAGAACAATAGGCCAAATTCTGTGTATTTTCATAGCAAAGAATAGTAAAAGAGAAATGGTACTTAAATTATGTATCTTTACATGCATTAATCACTTACTTGGAATTGTATTATTTTGTTATTCTTACGTTTCCTATTCATAAAAATATTTAGCTAATCTTGTTAGAATAAAGATTAGATGCAAAAACAGTAGTGGTTTATTTAAGAAATATCTAAAGTTGAAATATGTGTTGCTTAAATTTGTCTGAAAGATAAGGTAGAAAGGAAGTTTACATGTTTGATTAAGCTACATGTTGGACAAAAAATATTTTTACAGCTAACATGTTCTTGTGACTTCTGAAGCACCTTTTCTTAAAAAGGCAGTGGAGATGATGGAATTTATAGAATTTGGTTATCATAGCTATTTATTTCTAAGGAGTGTCTTTCCATTTGAGGCTGATGGTTTTCCTTTATCCTTCATCTTTTCTCTTAAGAAGCTTCGTTTTAGTTATAATCTTTCTCTGTTTTTGTCAACCTCTGTGACTTAAATAGGTCTGTTTTTTCAGCCTGTAAACATATCTCAGCCTCTCTTGTTAAACAGTTCTCCTGAAGAAAAACCTCACACCTTTCTTTCTGTTTTGCATTCCCCTCCCCCTTCTCAGTCCAACTTTTTGAAATCTAGTTTTGAATCTGTGTTTATTCCCATGCACTTCGTTGCAATCTGGAGTCTTCTTCAGTACTGTTACTCAAATAGTGACTTTCAGTTCTAATCATTATGTGACATTTAAACAGTTGAACACTCATGTCTTGGAATTTCTTTTTTCTTGGTGTACGTGAGCCTATGTTCTTTTTGTTTTCTTAATCCTGTGACAGTTCATTATCAGTCTTTAAAAAATTTTTTTTTTTAATTTTTAAAAATTTTGTTGGGCGTGAAGATATACATAACAAAACACATGCCAAGGAAATGATAACTGTTTTTTTTCCTATCTATTTATCTGTAAGTATAATGATGTAAAAGCACATGACAGGAGTAGAGGAAGCATGAGCCTGTCATTTACTCTTGGAGTTGGCAAGTGGGCAACTTCCAGTGGCTAAGACGGCACTAGTGTCCCATTGTGCTGTGGAAATCAGTCTGTTAGCCATCTTTTAGCACGTATCTAAGGTTTATAGCTTCTGTTCTTTTTTTTGTAAATAATATTTTATTGTGTTTTCAGTGAAAAATTGCACAGCAAATTAGGTTCCCATTTAACAATTTCTACACAGTTTGTTCAGTGACATTGGTTACATTTTACACAGTGTGTCAGCTTTCCCATTATTTCTTTTCTGCTGTTCCATTTCCAGTAATCTGGTTTCCCTGCCCCCTTGCCTTCTCGTCTTTGCTTTAGAGTAAGTATTGACCCTTTGGTCTCATCTAGATGCTTTTTTAAAGGAGCATGGTATTCATGGGTGATATTGTTTTTTTTATGAGCCAATCTGTTATTTAGCTAAAAGGAGACCTCATGGAATAGTTGTTGGTCTTTTTTTTTTATGGGTTCTCTTTTCTCACTTATTATTAAAAGGTTTGTTTTCTTCAGATTCCATTCTTAATTTTCTTATTTTACAGAACCATTCTTGGTGATTTTATCCACACCACAGCCCTTTTCCACAGTTGAACTCTATGTTGATTATTCTTAAATATACAACTCTAGCCAGACCTCTCTTTGAATCTCTTTATTATTATTCCTAAATATTCAACCGAAGTAAGAAGCCAGAGACTCCTTTCTCTCAATCTTGACAACCATCTGTCCCTCAGATTGCAGATTTTCCCTCTTAAATGCCTCTCTAGTATGTTCTTCTTTATTCTCATCACCATGCATTACTCATATCCTTGTCATCTCACATATAAACTATTGGGATGGCGTCATTAGTGGTTTTCATGCCTTTGTTTTGCTTCCTTCCATTCTTCCTCTTGAACTGCCATTAAAACCTGATAATTTTATTCTTAGACTTCTCTAATAGCTCCCCGTTGTCTTTATAGTCCCTTTAGTATGGCACACAAGTTTCTTCAGGATTTTAACCATCTCAGTCTCTAACTGCATTTGGCATTACTTTCTTTTACCTCGTGCTCTAGCCATTCTGATTTATTTATAGTTTGCCATATACTTTTGATTCATACCTTAACCTTTGCATAAATTGTTCCTACTGTCTGCATTTCCTTTGTATCCTTGTTTATTGAGGTTTGTTCATTGAGTAAGGCTTTTCATTCTAAATATCAGTTACAATTATATTATAGATGTGTTGTTGTTGCTAGGTGCTGTGTAGTCGGTTCCAACTCATAGTGACCCCATATACAACAGAATGAAACACTGCCTGGTCCTGTGCCATCCTCATAATTGTTGCTAGGTTTCAGTCCATTGTTGCAGCTATTGTGTCAGTCTATCTTGTTGAGGATCTTCCTCTTTTTTGCTGACCTTTAGACTTGTATTTTGATGAAAATACGTATTAAAACAATTGTGATGTTTTCTTTAAAAAATTTTTTTTATTGTACTTTAGATGAAGGTTTACCGAACAA